GAGGCGGTATTCAGCAAGCACAAGTTCGGGGCAAGGGACCCGGCTTCGCGGACCAGCTTCACGCGGGGCGCGATCGATCCCCAGAGCTGGGTGGTTGGTGTCCCACGGTGCCCGCACGTACGGGGCTTGAAACTGGTCCGTTGCACCTGAAACTTGGGATACAGCCTCTAGAGCCCCCTCGGAGCCCAGCTGACACGATGCGGAGCAAAAAAGAAAATAACGTAACGGTCCGGGACGAAAATGCGGAGCAAAATCGTAACGGTGGGAAGGGACCGATGCGGAAGGGTTTAATATACTACGGTATATACATTGATGTTGGCTTCCCATCCCCTGTGTGGCGCACATGATATGTATGGTCCAGGGACATGCAGACACTGGCAAGTGTGGGAATTGTGTGTGTAAGGAATGTAGACATGACGGGACAGGCAGGGTCTGGAATTCATGCCAACATTGCCTCTAAGGTGCAAGGGCAGTGTTTTGTCATGCCCATGTGACAAATGAAATCAAAGGATTGGAGGGACAGGCACTACAACAGAACAGCCGACTGGCTGATGGCTACCTCCTTGCCTTGTTGCGTGAAAATGAATTACGATGATGACTGGCCGATGGGTGGTTACACTGATGCATGCATTGTTGATTAGACATGCATTCATAGGCTCTGCTTGGGTTGAACATCAGATTTCCATGAACTGACCATAGACGCTGCTATACTCGGGCAAAATAGGAAGCTGACGGCCACATCATTTCCTTGTTCTGCAAAAGATGAATGACGATGACGCGTTGTTGACTGACTGAAAAGGCCCGATGCTCTTGCTCCCCAGGAAGTCATGCAGAACTGCTTCAGCGACCGCGAAGAGCAGTACCAGTGGGCGGCCTGGTGCGCCGTGGTCCTGCACAACCTCATGGAGTACGAGAACTGCCTGCAGCACGTGTGGGACGCCGTCCGGGCTCAGGCCGGCAACACCCCCGGCCTGCAGCGGGTGAACGACCCCAGCGGCTGCGAGCAGTGGCTCTCGGACCTGGCAGCGGACTCCGATTTAGACTACTTGTGAGGCCCGCCTGAGCGCGTGGGCCTCGGTTTTGGCGGTAGATTTAGACGCAAATATTATTTATCGGGAGCCGCAGCCGGCATGGCAATGCGTGGGGCGAGAGCGCTGGGAGAACAGTAATCAGTCCCCGCATCTTTTCCGCGAGGATGCCTTCTTCTTCTGCTGACAAGGCCATCGTTGGCCAGTGGTTTGGGGTTTAGCGTGTCGAAACAAGAATCGACAATCACAGAAAGACGGAGGGACTGACTACATGCCGAACGCTGGCGTCGGCCGCGTGTTTCACGGCTGGCTCTGGAAGCGGGTGCGCCATCTCGGTGGGAGGAAAGTAGCTATCAGGGTTGGGAGCGCGCCTGACTGGGGTGGGGCTGTGTGACTGGCGGCGGACGTTGACACTGGACGGATTGAGAAGACGTGTGCAAGTGTGGCTGGGAATCCTGGCAGAAGCCGTGCGCTGGGCGCAAGAGGGCACCTCCCACATGAGGGGAAGGCACGGGGGCGTGGAGGCTGTTTTGGCCAAGCAGTGTAAAAAGTTGCGATTATTTACTCCTCGCTCGTCGCCTGCGGCACACCTGCAGTGCTGCGACAATGACAGCTGTGTTGTTCGTAGCCACAAATATGCGTCGTAGTTGTGGCATGAGGGAAAACATTGGTTTCTTTCAATCGATTTTGGTACGCTTAGCATCGTTCCTTACATCAATGGTGTATCGAATTGTGCGTTTTTACATTTGTCAAAACATGGCGATTCAAAGCCTTGTCACCTGTCTGGCGGTGTCAAGTGGCAGGCACGGCATGTGAGGTGCAGAGCGTGGCAGTGCGCTGAAGTGCAGTACATCACGCTGCAGCACTGCACGGATAAGGAGGGTAGTGCCCAAGCCACTACTCTCCTTATCCGTGCAGTAGTGGCCTGGCCCAGCATGCCGGCTGCCGCTGGTGGGCGTTGCACTGGCGTTCGCTGCTGGGCGATTCTGGCGTTGGTGAGCTGGTCAACGGTAAAAGTGCACTGTAGTGTGCACAGGCTGAAATCTGACAATCCGGTGTACGAGAAGCTCATAATGCACAATTTGCACAATGGGATAGATTTTGCAGCTGCCTTACAACCGTGTTCAGAAATGATATGGTTTTTGGCATCCAACATCAAGGAAATGCCACACGTGGTTTAAACATCCGACATTGCATCCTTGCTGAACAGAGCAATCGGGACGACAAGCATATCCATCGTCATGACTTTCGAGTATTGCCCATTTCAACCATCCCCGTTTTGGTTATCCTTGGGCACCCATACAAAGTCAAACATCGGAGCCCCGATAGATTCGTTAGTGCTGCCAACCCCTCGTCTGAGATTTCTTCGCAGTCATCCAGGAACAGATATTGCAAATCAATCCGTTGCCCTATCGATTTGAGACCCTCATCTGTGACACCCAGGCACTTTTTGAGTTCCAATCGCTTTAATCTTTTCAGTGACTCCCCCCAATCACCGGCTATCCCTGTACACCCCACAAACACAAATGCTGCAACTGGGACACCAAGCACTTCAATAATTGGTCTGCAATCATAGGAATGCCACCCAAACTCAAAAACAGGAGCCTAGTTAGATTCATGAGTGGCGCCAATCCGTTTTCAGAGATCCTTTTGCAATCACTAAGGGCCAGACGGCGTAAACCAGTCAGGGCCCCCATCGATTTCACACCGTCATCTGTCATGCCTGAACAGCGGCGCACATCCAAGAATAGTAGCCCTGTGATACCAGCCAGTGCCACCATGCTCACGACATTTATCCATGTGCATTTCGCAAGACACAACTCTTGCAGCCCTGTCAGCTTGGCCAACGGCCTTAATCCCCGGCTTGTGATGTCCTCACATTCCCTCAGAACCAAAGTCTTAAGTGAAGTCAAGCGTGCCATCCAATGCATTCGCTCATCTGTTGCACCTTTGCACATTTTCATTTTAAGATGCAACAGGGAACTCATGCTCGTCAGCACCATCAGTCCCTGGCCAGTGATGTCGCGGGAATAACCTATGTCGGGACCTTGCGATCGGCAACTTCCTGTGCATTTGTGACCGCGTCGCTTACCCTAACCGCACAGATTTTGACACAAGGAACCAACACAAGTGCTGCTCGCTTCCGTTTTCGCCCCAAGATAACACTGATTTTGCGATTGACCTGATACAGTGCCAGTTTTTGGATATTCGTGAGGTACCTGTTTCTGAAATTCCAGGGCGTACCTAACTGCTGAAATCCAAATTTACGAATTTGTTTATTGCTAACTAAAACATGCGACGCATCCTTACACAATTTTGGCGTTGTAGTTTGTCGTCCATCGTTGGCAGCCACCGGGAACAAAAAGCAGTGAAAGCAATAGATAACAATGTCAGCATTATCATTGTCAGGTGTTCCGGATATATATCACAATTCCGGATATCTCCGGATCTCTTCCAGATATACCAGGTATGTGAGAGCACTGTCGGGGGGTCAGCCCCCCCGCGGCATGTCGATGCCAGGGTATTAAGTGTGACAGACACCGAATCGCTGTGCCCCAAACAACGTTCGAAGGGAGGAGGCACTTGGCGGGTAGGCGCAGTGCGAGGTTGTGCCCCCCCCCCCCTCCCTTGACCAGGTCTACCAGATGCAACGGCACCTGTATGAGTTCCTGGGCAAGTTGGATTGGCCCCTGGCCGATCGACCTGTGTCCCCGATGGCGATGTTCGTTGAGGACATGGCCAACCCTGGGGCGTCGATGCTGCGGGACCATCCGAAGGTGGGAGGGTTGTCCTTTCAGCGCGAAGGGGGACTCGACGCGCGGAAAACGCGACCCAGGAAGGATGCGGGGAGCGCGATGGCCCGATTGGCGGACGGGATTCATTGTAACGAGAAGATGGGAGTCAAAGAATGGGTGCCCCACTCCTGGCCGAAGACATGCCGAGGCGCCGTTTCGCGCTGCGGGAGATAGTGCAGCAGTCTCTTTGGGGAGGGTGAGGCGGTGCGATAACTCACAGCAACACAATGGAATCGGGGGCCCCCGCTTCAGCGGCAGAAATCTGTTCAACACTCCTTTCTCAGAACTCGCCTAGTGCCCTGCAAGATAGCGCAGCGGGGATACACTGGCCCTGCAGTGCCAACTTCTCCTCACCCTGATGTCTGCATAGCATGTGGAAAGTGTGGCTTAAGTGGCTTTGTGTGGACGCGGTGCCAGGAAGGCTTCTGACGCTACCCTGGCCCTAAAGACGGCCATTTTGGCGCCCACCTTCCAGTTAGTTGGCAAACAGGCTGCCTGCCATGCTGATTGCCCCACTTGGTTAATTTAAGATACCTTTTTTACCCCTAATAAGCAAGAAAATCGCAAGTTGCAAAGGTAACCGTGCACTCCAGAACTGGCTGTCTGTCGGCACTCACAATGGTTTCAGCTGTTTGCTGTCCTCCTTTTCACTTGAGTCCTTGCCTATCCCTGGATCTCCCAAACTCAACACTCATGACGTGACTGAATCGTTGAATGGCAAGCGAGCATTTTGGATGTATGTGTGCCCTTGATCACCTGCAAGTACACCGCTTTGCCTTTTGAAGGCAACTACAATGCGAGGGAACTACGTCTCCGACCCTACCGCCCTCTTACTGCCGCTTGAATCGCCACTCGACACAGCAATCTAATTTTGCAAGACTGTAGTGCCTAATTTGTTTGCTGCCTCACTGCAGAGCTCCACTTTGCCGAGTGAGCTGATCTCATGCATCGCACAGAAGGTGCACCTGCCGGAGGAGGAGGTGAGAGCGCGCTATGACCAGCGCGAGAACGTCGTGCTGTGGGTGACGAGGGCAAACTACGAGCCTCTGGAGCGCAGGCGACGCTGGGATGCGCTGCCCAGCGAGGAGCAACAGCATTATGAAGACATGCACCTGGGGCTCAAGAGGCAGGCCCTCAATGCGATTGCTGAGGCTGAGGTAACAGCAGGGGTGGTGGTCGGTTGGAGGAAGCTTTTGAAATCCTTGCAGCTAGGCTTTGGGTGCGTTGAGATTCCTTTGAATTGCATATAGGCAAGGGGCATATTGTGATCCTGCACCTGAAAGGTGATGGCAGGCACTTGAACTACAGCTTTGGCACAAACGACAGTGAATTGGTAGTGCATACAGAACTGTAGAATGAATACCAACAGCCACAGCACATGGCCGAGGCCTGAAGTACATTCATTGGGCCTTCTGTGTTTTGTCCAATCAGGCACATCAAATGGGCTGGAAGGAACATTCGGTGCTTGCAACAGTTGATGCAGTGGGAGACGAGACTGACCGATTTGACATCCTCTCCAAGCTACCACAAGGAGTGATGTTGTCTGTTTTATCTCAGCTAGAAATGTACGACATGGTGAGGTCCACCTTAGTCAATGTCTTGGACGGTGCGTGGACAGAGTGCAGCCGCTCTTTTGTTGTTCTCCTTGTACTCTGCTCTTTGCACTGTTTTGACATACTCAATCAACAGGTTTGTCCAGTGTTGCTTCCAGCCTCCAGCTCTTGTGTCACATTACAAAGGCCACACCAACTGTTCATGGCAATGGCTGGTCAACAGGACCCAACATGCCTTCCTCTCAAGCTGCCTGCATCACAGACAAGCATATCTTTTCTTGGTATTTTGGTGGTTCTATGTGATGGTCGCTTGGCAACTCAGTGATCGCTTATTGAATAGATTGTTTTCTTTTCCTGCTTTTTTCCTTGCTGCTGTTTTGCTTTTTGTGCTTTGTGCTATTGTCCAGTAGAGCATTGGCTGCAGTTCAGGGACAGCAAAAGGATTTGTTCCGTCCACAACCCAGCACTTTGTTGTCCATCCTTCTAATGGCTTTTTCTGCTAAACAGAGAGCACTGGTCGTGTGCCTTCATGGCGCTGGACATGTTTCCATCCTCCATGTACCTTCCTGAGCGTTTTCCATGTCCGCTCCCTCATGACCCACAGCGCTTCAGCGAGTTCCTTTGTTTCTTGGAACGCTGTGCTGCTGCTCTAGGCTCACTGCTTGCCTGCATTGCCCACACTACAGAAGCACACTGCACAATTCAGGAAGTGTGCAGAGACAAACTCTGCAAGGAGCTCGTTAAGACTGTTGCTGTCACCCCAATCGAGCCAATCTGCTGGTACACTGACTGCATCATTTGTCTACGAAACAAGGTGATTTGCGAAATGGTCTCAAGACGATGGCGGCGGTTGGTGGAGGCACACCTGCCTCAGATTCAAGAGTTCCGGCATCCTATCTCATTGCATCTTCTCCGTCACAGAAGGTGGCTGCAACCGAACGGTGACTTTGCCAGCCACAGAGCCAGGAGCAAATGGGCCGCGACTGGATGGGGGCTGTGCAGGCAAGCATCAACATCTCCTGCATGTGGCAATCCATGGGCTTTGACATTACTGCAGTGTGCAATTCTTCCTTATTTTCGTTCTTTTTCTGTCATGTTAATGTTGCCCCAGTATCTCATTTGTGTGTGGAGCTTTGTCAATTAAGACGAAACGCTGCTCTTGCGGCTACGGCGCTGTGTCAATGTTGGCACCTTTGCTGCTGACGAGCGTTGCCGTCTGGCTTGACTGCTATATTCTGAGGGATCCCACTTCCCCACTCCACCCAAAGTGCAAAAAATTCACGCAAGTTGTAACCCAAGCACCTGCAGCAACTGCATGGCATTGTGCTGCATCGCCATCCTCTTTCCTTGCCCAAGTTCGCAAACGAAAATGCAAGTTCTGGACACATGCACGCGCGTGATCAGTGCCTGACATGGCCTTTGGGACGGTCAACGTCGTGTGTCGATCATACTGCAGTCGTGCATATATTTGTTTCTTGTGTCAGTCGTGGTAATTGTGGCTATTTTAATTGTTTTGTTTTTCTGGCTGCCTTTGACAACTTCAGTTAGTGGCTGTATGTGGGCTTGGTGATTGGAATGAACTTGAGACTGTGAGGAATGACACCAGCACAGTTCTGTCACTCTGGAGCTCTTCTCATTCAAAGCCAATTTTAAGTTGAGCTCAAATTGGCGCCAGAGTCAGAAACGCACACACCCTCGCGTCGATTTGGATTCAAACGTGACAAACTCGCCCTGGTGCCACCCCTGATGATGTTCGACGCCTGCTGGTGTCCAGGTGGTTGACTGGACACCGCCAGCCGCTGTCTCTCAGGAAGATTTCCATCAAGTGGAGCGGCGACAGCGACGCCGCACAAGCGCTGATCATGTCGGCGCCAAAGCTGGAGCACTTGGAACTGGAAGTCGACGATGGCTTCAGAGAAACAGGTGCGGGAGGTGCGCAAGCAAAAATCGAGTAAAGTACACGGTTTCGAAGCATGTAAGAATCGTGTCAAAACATGCTAAGTTGGTGTACATTCACTCAATCGCTAGTACATGGCTTGGTTTTTTGCACTATATCCAATCAATTTACACGAGTTACACGGTGCACGATTTTCAAAACCGTGTATATTGGCCTGTTTTCTACTGGTGTTGTGTCCGCGGGCAGCTGCACTGGGACAATCCAATTGGGACAAGTTCTGACTCGTTTTCTGCATTTCTCGTTTTCGGATTTCGACTGTCGATTCTCTTGTGAGTCTCATGTGGATTTCACTGTGGGCTTTGCCGCTCCCGTGGGCTGCAACTCGGCATACAAACAACGGCGTGGAGGGTATTCCCCTCGCACAGTTTGCGCGGCGCACAACAGCTGCCAGCTGTTTGCACAGGGCCTGGTGGCACAATTGCGCCCTCGGGCGTCGCCGCAGCGAAACAGCAAAATGAGAAGAAGAGCAGCAAAGTGGGCAAGAGCGACGTGAGCACACTAGACAAAATTGCCAAACTGGCGTTTGCCTGGGCGCTATCCCTCTGCGGCCCCCGCCCTGCACTTGAGAGTCCATACCTCGGCTCAACTCGGCTGGCACGTTTTGGTTCAGGGTGGCTGAGAGAGCTGCCAAGGCTCAAGTCGCTGCTCCTCTCCTTCGCAAGGCTCCCCCTCACCGGCGTTCCCCACGACCGAGCCCCAGCAGTCATGCAGATAGGCCGCGCCTGCAGGCACCTCACGCTCCTAAGCCTGGTGACCGAGGACTCGTCCAACCAGATCGAGGATGCGGACGCCGTGCTGTCGCTGCTGCGGGCCTGCGACGCTCTGCTTGCCCTAGAAATAGTGGGTTTCGATGACCTCGGTCTTTCGGACATAGCACCGGATTTCAGGCTGGGTTTGAGGTACTTCAGGTGGGATCTGATGGGTTGGTACTTGGAGGAAGGGGAGGCCGAGGCGTTTCTGTCGAATTGCCCGGAGCTCAGGGTCCTGGCCCTGGGCACCAAGGACCAGCCCGTGCTCAGCTGGGGCTCCCAGGACATGGCCGGGGCGGCCAGGAATCTGGAGGCGCTGTGGCTGAGCGGGCAGCCGCTGGCGGATCATGCAGTTTGGGTGGAGGGCTTGAGGGCCATGACGTCGAACTGCAGGAGGCTGAGGACTGCATACGTGGACGCGACATCAGCGGACGTGCAGCTGCCGGGAGATCTCGACTGCATTCGGTTGGTTCGGCCGGGGGAGGATGGGCCGGATGGACGGTTTTCGCTGTGGAGCAAACCCGTGCAGGACATGATACGAGCCGTTGATGGCAATGGCGGCGGGCGGACTTGACTTGGTTCAACCCGTCTGCCACGAGGGTGGGCGTCGAAATGGGCAACGCCTTGCAGCGGAGTGAATGTTGCGGCCACGTCGCCATTGTTTGGTGAAAATTTCCATACCCAAGGATCCGTGGGCAGGGATGCAGGCTGCGTAAACACATGTAGTATGACGAACAGCTGTGCTATTTGACACCTTTCCATGGACTCGCCTGTCCCCCACTAGTGCCTAGTACTGTTGTCGTGGCAGCCCTGGTTTCTCTTCTGCACAATGCGACGCGCAACATTGCGTTGGTCTCCATGACATCAGTATTCATGACATTGAGTGTGAAGCGGCAGGCAGCTCCGTCCGTCGAATCTCAAGCCCAATTTCCCTGCTTGTGTCACTTCTTCTCTCTTCTGCCCCAAACGCAGCTAGTCAGCGGAGGGCTCTGGGGATCCGTTTGTGGGGACCAGGCGTGAGGCGGCGGTCCTTGCCCCACCGGGAACTTGCCCCGCTGGCCGCTCGACGTTGGGCGCCAACGACTTCGGCGTTTGCGCATGTGCCTGGCTGGCGACCGTACACGCGCCCACCTTACCGCGCCATTATGCGGGCGCCGCCAATGTAAATGCCAGTAGGTCGGGTATGATTTAACGTATGCCCCAGACATTGCCAATCTGCTGGTGAAGCTATTGTCAGGCAAACAGCGTCGGCGGCGAAGCAAAGGCGCTGCAGTCAAGCCAGGCGTTAAGGTGCACTTGGGCGATGGAAGCAGCCGTTCCAGCACAAAGGGAGTGAAGCAGGCTGCGAACGGCCGTGCCGATTGGCGGGAAACCTTGCATATTCTTTGCCTTGGGGAAAGACACAGACGGACAACCATGTTGTCGTGCAGATGCCAGAATCACACGCTCGCGAAGGGCATGCATCTGCCATGCGTCGGCAAAAGCAATCAATCTTGACTTCCTCCGCGCGCAAGTTGTGGAGGGCAGTGTGTGGCCCAGGAAGAGGGAAGCATGCCTGCTCAACGCATCCAACTTGCCAAGGTGAACAACCGCCAAACACACAGCGAGAGGCAAAGCAACGGCTGCCGCCAAATCCAGCCAGTAGACACAAATGTACATTGCACAACCCTCCACATCCAAATCAATCCCTCCATCGCAGCACGAGCAACGAATTGGCCACCCCCGCGTCCTGCAGCGACTGTGAATAGTCGGACAAGAACTGGCCTCCTGCAAAGCGGAAAGAACAGAAAAGCCAACATAAGGGCACTTCAATCAAGGCACTTGACTCGATACCACTCATGGGCACTGACTCTGCGGACAAAAGTTGTGCTCAAATGGGGATCCTTGAGTGCATGGGTATTGGCTGTTTGGGGAAAAATGGACACAAGGCTGAGTACACAGCACTCAGGCTTGCACATTCATGCATGGATGTCGCCTTGCTACTTTGTGTTGCTCTGTGCAGTGTGCTATTCCAGCCGCACTCGGAGACAATTGCATCATCTTCCGCAGCATGGAAAAGAGTCTGCAACTGCCAGGACACGCTGCTTCCATTCGAGACAGAATAATGGGGTGCCCCACCCTGCAACACTGTCAGGACGAAGCTGACGGCCATCCCATGCCAAAAAGAGCAAGACCCACAACTTGTGGACGCACATATACCCACAAGAATCAGCTGTGGACTTTCACAATCTGACCTGTGTCTGGCTGCATGTATGCCCAGAGGATGGGCTCATTCTACAACTCCATGCGGCTGAACCCATGAACAAACAGCAGTGCCGCGCCATATGAGACAGGGAACCCTGCATGTGAGTACACAGTGGCCAGCCCCACAACAGCAGAAACTTGCAGAAGGTGATCGCATTGCCCAGGACACCATCAAGCGGTGCACAACAGAACTGCCAATGGGCCCATCAACACAGGTGTGCATGCTCCCAAATCTGCCAAACAAGGCAGCCTGGTTTGCATTGTAAGTTGTGCTATGCAAACATGAGTAAGAGGGCGCCTTCTACCGTTTTCGTTGACCCTCACCAGGCATCATGGGGGCCAATCCAAATGGACGATCCCTCAACGCAGCGTCCATTTCCGTCCAGCAGTAATCGTACACGGCCTGGTTTGCAGTAGCACACAGGATTAGAAGTGATATTTGCATGAACACGATTGCGCATATCTGCGATGGAATTGGGAACACTGACGTGGGATCGGTCACATGACAAAACATTGGCGAATTTCTTGATTGCCATAATTTTCTTCCATTCAACTGGCAAGGCTCTGCCTATGTCTTGACAGTCAGGGTTTCCACCATCGGTGTGAGCATCACATGCTATCAGCAGAGCCGTCGTGAGCCGCGTTGAAGATGAATGCGGCACAGCCACTTTTACAGGGATGCTCTCTGCTACATCAATTGGAAGCTCAACAGGCATATCACACATACTACGTAGTGCATGAGCAACCGACAACTGTGTCAACACCAGTAAGTAAGTAAGTAAGGCCACTAAGGGAACGTAGAGGTCCCAGTATTGCTACCCCTGATGGCAAGCCAGATAGGGTGGTACGTTCTCTGTGCGACATCACTAGGTTCCCCAGCATTCAGCTGTTGTTGGTGTCACTTTACTTGCTCCAGTACTGTTTTTAGGTACCACAAGACACTGCACATAAGGCATGATTTCAATCAGCAGGGATAGGAGGGGCATTGCGAGTGATGATATTCTGCAGCCGAGAGTAACACGATGGAGGTACAACAGTATTCTTGCAGTACATTTCATGATTTTGGACAGCACAGATCTTTGAATTGCGACAGCAGAATATCAAAATTTTGCCACCAGAAATGCCTGGATTCAGGCCATTACGAAATGATGAAGAAAGGGACAGAGACAACTCGTTCAGAGGTTCGCGATATCTGACCGTGCGCAATTCAGGGCGTTGCTAAGCTGGGAAGCCTGCTGTACGATGGCCACGTGCCACATGAATGCTTGCCCATACACAGGCTATAATACGACAACACCAGCTCATCAGGTGTGGAAAGAACAGCTGACCGCACCTGGAGAGTGTGATGTCTGCTGAAGCGCCTCTGCACCCTCCTGCCGTCCGGCAGCCTCACCCCGATGCTGCAAGCGTCCCGATCCCCAACATCTGGCTCAGGCGGTAGTTGCCGCGTGGCAGCGCCCACAGATGCCCCTCCAGCAGACCTTTGCTGCCGATCGTCCACACCATCTTGCTGTGCAACGGGGCTCTGTCCGTGAGCAGGACAAACTCTCAGTCTGTTCATCATGACTCCATTACAGTAGAAATTCAATGGACTGCTCGAAAATGGGTATCACCATCAGATATTGGCTTCAAAATTGGAATTATGCACAGCTTCAAAATTGGGTTTATGCACAACTCAGGACACCCTGCTTACGGGCTCCTGCCAAACATTACTTTGCAGCAGCAGTGCCTGGTCACTCTTCAACAAATGTTGTCACTATGGATTTCCATGTGCAGACTTGACTTCTTTGAGAATCATGAATACACATGACATAGAAGAACAACCTTGCAGCGATGACAGGTGCAAAATGCCAGATATTCACAAAGCCAGTTCGTTCGCAGTCCTGCGATCTCCACTTCATATAAGCATCCAATTAGACTGAGATCTTCTCACCGAAAATTGTAGCCTATTCAAGTAGCTTGGTACTTTGTGTACCCAAAACTCATACAGCACCACCACCTTCAAGGAAAAAGCAAACACACTATACATAATGCACATGAAAGTATATAACCAAAAGCGTGTTATACAACTATCTTCATGTTCAAGCCTCCTTGCGCCCACCTGCTGCTCCACTGATGTTGCTTCATCTGGCTCACCATCCGCAGCCTGGGGGCCTCTGGACGATGGGGTGGGATGCTGATCATGCGGGCCAGAGTGCAAAGAGGGAGACGAAGAGTGGCTAAGGGTGGAGGGCTGGCTGGAGGGGTACTCCACATTGTTGTCCTCAAAATCCTCATCGTCGTCCTGCTCTACCATGCCCACTGCAGGCACAGTCACAGGCCAATTCGTTGTGGACCTAGCCGTATGCAGAGGTTGCTTTCTGGATATTTTGTGGGAAACTACATGGCCAACATCGCCTTGCAGGTGTGAAAGGCTGTGTATCGTGAGTTTTCAACAGAAGGCATCAAAGGACCTGCACAAACAGGAATTTCATGACCTGTTGCCTTGCTGAGGGATAGAAATTATAAACAACTTCAGGACTGCTGATGACAACTGTCAGAATAGTCATGAAAATAACATGTTTGCACCTTGTGGCAAATGCTGGGTGGAAACAAATCCCATCAATGTTGGTTCAAGTCCACAATACCGTTGTTATGCACACCACCCAGTTGCACAACACGAAATGGGCAGTAGAGAATGAATTTTCACACAGTCCACATTTTGGTTCTATGGCCAGGTGTGGTGGCAGTGCGTTGCCACGTTACTTGATAAATATTGCAGCTGCAGATCTAATCTCCTTGGGCAAGCTCAACATGTGGAGCAGGACTGATATATTACCTTTGTCTCAAAAGCATTGTCTGAATTCGTTTCCACAAAAACAAAGGTCAAAACGTGCGAGTCAGAAAAATTGACCTGAACAGCTCTGACACCTCTTTCTAAGAGCTATCGATGGCGACCTCGAACGTCGCAAACGGCGCAGTGGCTGTTGAGTTATGCCCCCATGCGTCGAGGTGGGCCTTTGAACATTGCAAGTAGTTTGTCATTGGCATGGCGAGCACATCTCGCCCGTCCAAAAACCGGAGTCGGCTGAGCTGCCGGTGGGGGAGCACTATGCCTTGGTCTTTAGGTGCACGCTTGCAATGGGCGCCTCTATCAATCACATTCCGTACGTGAAGGCGCTGGAGATCACAGTCCGATTCGGAGTTTCAACAAAGACTGTGAAGAGGTTGCGGTCTAGAGTCAAAAACAAAATACGGGCAACAATGTCAATAGAACAAGGAGAAGTGCGATTTGTGATGATACCTAACTTCGCACAGCACTTCTTGAAGTACTGAACTCTTGTGATCTTCAGTTCTGGAACTCCCACTCTTAGGACAAACTCAGTTCGGGCTGTTGCATCGCCCTTGCAGTTTCATGTCAGGTGGCACAATGGCCTGTATCCCATATGTCAGGGGCAGGTGTTCCAGCTAGCATCCTGATTGAAACTGCCCAGTGAGGACAGCTGTCACAACCAAAGATTCCACATACCGTGAGGTTCTCTTGCATTTCTGGAGTGGCTCTCCATCGACAGGGCAATCGCCATTGCGATCTCGTCATCCTCAGTCATGGGCCTCTTGCTCCCACTGCCATTGCCAGGAGCTTCTGCCTTCACAAAAAAGCATCCAAGCGCAGTGCACATCAGGTCATCCCTGTCTGTAACAATCTCAACCATAAAGAATCCCAGGCCATACCTGCACGATGTCAAGCCACAGACCAAAGGAGGGGCAGTTGATGACTGCTGCATGGCCCAACACTTGGGCTTGTTGCCCACTCTGTGTGAATAAATTCAACATAGTACCACACTTCGTTGCAGACATTCGTTGATGCACAACGAGACATTCTTGCACACTGAAGCACCAAATGAGCAGGGTTCGAATGACTGGCGTGGGAAAGAACTGCACTGATACAATTCCCATTCCTCGGGAGCAACATACAGTCAAGCTGTCCAACACATCAATGCCTCGTCCATTTATCTAACAGAAATGAGCGTATAGACACATCGTCCCCTGCATTAGCTATCAGCTTCCCGGACACTGACAAGCAGATGCAAAGAATGCATAGCGTTCCCAGATATGAGCCAGCAAGTGTTTCACTAGTGATGGTGATCAAAGGAACTGTGCATCGGATCGACCAGCCCAATAGACGCATTGGCCTTACTCCTTTGTGAGACTGCATGGTCTTCTTCTTGTGGAAGGCGCTTGCGATCTCAGCAACACCAGCATCCTGTGGCGTGGTGTCCATAAACTTCACCAGCTCCTTCCACAACCCTCCGCCCGTTCCTCCTATATGCCCGTTCTATAGAATTGTCGCGCCGCCGCAGAGCGTAATGCCCCATGCCAGCAGTATCCCTATAAGTCCATCACGCGTCAGAAATACGATGATTCCAAAATTGTGCATGCCAGCGCCAGAAGTTCGAACCTTCAATATCGATGCCAACCATCCACAAGACCGGCTCCTGCCATGAGCAGATCGATAGTGGGGGAGCAGCAGGATCCATCACAAGCACTGCGACATCCCAGCACTAGTTCTCTCAAGTACAGTATTAGGACAGCATGCCACTGCGTGTATCTTCAGTGCCTCCATCCTCGTGGCACCTAACTATGAGTGCCACAGCCATGCCTTTTGTTCCCAGCAAACTTGTACAAAGTGGGATTGCCAGCCAATGCAAGCATCAAATCGCTGCTTTAAGATTGCCCCAAGCTCCAGGCTCGCAAAAGATGCCCAAGCAACCAATCCACCGTTTCAACAATCAAAAACAAATCCTGGCCCACCCCTACTTCCCACCTTTCCGCCTCCACGAATCCTTTGAGGTCCTGCATCAGTGCACCAGTGACAGGGTCGATGATGAGCACAGATGGTATGTCGGTGACCCTGTAGAAATTCTTGATCTTGGAGCCACGAGTGGTGTTGTCATAGACCTGCAATAGAGGCCACAAGTGCTGGTGGGCATCAGCACAGTACTTGGGGACAGTTAGACTACTGTCACGGTTGGGTAAGAGAACATGAGTCCCACACAGAACTGGTTGCACCCCTGTGATACATTGTACTCTATTACATACTAAACCTCTACCTCTACTGTCAGCAACACTGCACATTGTATGACAGCATTCACAACATTCAGATGGATCCTGACATTTGGATGCAACACTGCACTGGAAGGACATCAACGGCACTCAGGGGTGTTTGGTGAAAGGAACCATAATAACTTGAGAGCAACTGCGGGTGGATTTGCATCTGAGATTGCCCAACAGGTGCAAGGGCAGCGATTTACCCCGCTATGATGAAGGCAATCACATGTCAACCCGAAAACTCTGATAAGAGCAACAACTATTGCGGCAATTCGAGCTATGTTATGTGGCACACAAGTTGCCAAGCAATATTGCTATTGATACTACTGTAACTAGTATTGTGCTAGTGTGGATTTGCTCACTGGATGGACAGGTGGCCAGTAAGACAAGTGCATTACCTTGCAGACACAAGCACAAGCACTGCAAGGCACTTCAGACTCTGACCTGCAGCAGAATGAAATTTGATGCCACCATCTCCTTGACAGCTTCGTTGGCAAAAGTGTCACGATTAAGCATGTGGGAAGCAAACTCTGTGTTTGACTGGACATTCACCATCTGTGCACAACACAACTTATCCATCAATCCATGTGAAAAAAGAAGTGTCAACCTATGATCATTGCATCTTCATTGTCAGTAAATTGTGATTGTTCGTGCTGGTAGTGCATTTGTCTGTAGCGGTCAGTACACCCCGTACCCAAACAACTCATCGCAAAGAGGACTATTGTTTCACAACAAAACTCAGGTGCAAACATGATGTTGCCTGTTTTACCTGTCTCCCAACGATTCATCCAAGTTTGAGCATCGGAAAGGACAGCCTTTCCAACTCATTTGAATATAATTCCAGAGTCCACAACTGCCCAGTCAGCTTCAGGTCACCTCAGGGGTGCAAGCACACTGTCTTGCAATATCCTCCAAAAGTAATCAAAGCAAAACTCGAGCATGAATACAAATTGACAAAGAATAGGACAGGATACAAGCAAGAATTCTGACTCAGTGGGCACCCTGGTAACTCACCAGCCACTTATGTTGCCCTGCCGCTGCCTGCTTTGCCTCTTCAAAATCGCCTCTGAACAGCATCTCCAAAGGTGGCTTGTACAGTTTGGCAAGGCCCTGAGCATGAAACACACACAACACAGTCTATGCCCTGTGCACACCAATGCAATGCAATGAATTGAGCACACACCGACAAGCAACAATACAAAGCAACGAAATATGATGCTGTGAGTGCCCATGGTTGGCTTCAATCAGCGAACAACACGCTTCCTGAAAGCACTTGCAACGGAACAAAAAGTTGTCTGCTGGCATAGTACCAACTGAAGAGAGTGTGCATGTTCTGCTCCAGCAGTTGCATGCACTGTAAGTGCACTGGCTGCCTGACTTCTTTTCTCGCTTTCATTCCAAGCTTTATTACACGAATCTTAC